TTCACTGTGTAATTAAAAATTTAATTTAATTTAAATTTTTTAATTGAAAAATTATAAAGTAAATTATTTTTATGATATGGTATATACTAAAATGAGATCTTGGTGCGTGAGTGTTTTTATCCCCTATGCCTATGTTAAAATCTTCTTTTTTAACCGACGCACGTAAATATTCTTTAAGTTTTTTTTTTTTGTAATTAGCCGGATACATGGTAATAAATCTAATGGAAGATATTGTCTACAAAAGCTTGTCTATTTTGGATGACATAAATCGTAATAAATCTAATTCTTAATTACTCTAGATACGCAGCTCATATAAGTTGATAGTTCAATATCACCTTTCTATAAATACCTCTCTTCTCTATCTCCTTCTCTGTCACTCTTCAACCCCCTATCTTGTGTATACAATGGAGAAAGGAAACTCTAAGCCATCGATCGCTCTCATTGTAGGAGTCACTGGCATGGTGGGTGTAACCTTGACCGAGGCCTTGAAGATGCCAATGGCATTTGGTGGTCCTTGGACAGTCTATGGTGTGTCACGACGGGCCTTACCCACCTGGTTCCAATCCTCCCTCCTCGACAAACACATCATTTTGGATACACTGAACGAGGAAAACACTCATACAACCCTCTCTTCACTCTCCACCCAAATCACCCATCTTTTCTGGGTAGCTTTACATGCCAATGAAAGCGAAGAACTAAACATTTCCAGAAACTCAACTATGCTTTCCAATGTCCTAAGTGCATTAACTTCTTCTCCAAACAGAAAGTTGAGTCACGTGACGTTGCAAACAGGCACAAAGCAATATGTTGGGCCGATTACTGACTCAGTCATTTCAACTCAACTCGTCCCTCATGAACCACCCTTTAGAGAGGATTACCCTAGACTACCATTTCCAAACTTTTACCATGATTTGGAAGACATTATATTTTCAAACTCCAAAGCGTTCACCTATTCTATACACCGTCCTTCCATAATCATTGGTGCATCTTCAAGAAGTAGCTATAATTTCCTTCTTACGCTCTCCGTTTATGCACTAGTGTGCAAACACGAAAACTATCCATTCAGGTGCATGCTGATATTGTTTTACTTTCAGTACATCTTTACATTGAAAATGAATGTTTTGAAAACAAACAACTAATTAAAAAATGAATATCGATCATAACCATCAAATTTATGTAGGTTTTTTGGTAAAAAGTACAATTGGGGCCACTTTTGCGAAGCATCTGATGCTAGACTGATAGCGGAGCAGCAGATATGGGCAACAACGACAAAATGCGCTAAGAATCAAGCTTTTAATTGCACAAACGGTGATATGTTTACATGGAAAAGTATGTGGATAGTGCTTTGTGATGTATTTGGACTGGAGTTTGTACCGTTCAATGAGAAAGACAACTTTGATTGTGTGGACTTCATGAAAGACAAAGGACAGGTTTGGGATAGAATCGTGGAAGAAAATGGATTGTACAAGACAAAAATGGAGGAGATAACTTGCTTCGGCTTGTTAGATAATGTTTTAAAACTAGATATTCAAAATGTTTGTAGCATGAATAAGAGTCGAGAATTTGGGTTTTTTGGGCATGCAAACACACTTGAAAGCATTGCTGTGTGGGTTGAGAAATTGCGACAAATGAAAATACTTCCATAGATGTTATAGTTTATGCCCAAAATAAAAATGTCCTGGTTGTAAGTTTGGAGACGTGAGTCATATGAAGTTAATAAATGGCAATGCCCAAATTACTATATTTGTATTATTTGTGATTTTTAAACCAACATTGAAGTTATATAAAATGTTTGTAGTCAAGTATTACTTTGGGCTTAGAGACCATTAATACGGTAATATATTTACTTATTTATTTTTATTATTTATTTTTTTAACGACAAATCTAACATACTCATAAACTACTCTTTAATAACATACGTGAACCCCCGACCTCAAAGAGGAAGGGCAAAACCATACGACTAGAACTGATAAGCAGCAATGTGGGGGCCGAGGAGGGTTAATGTCTATGAGGTCATGTATTCTTTTTAGCGTGTGTTTTGGTTTATTTATCAATTTTTTTGAACGGCTAAAATTTTATTAAACAACAAACGAGCAAAAGCTAGAAACAAAGCATACAAAAGAGAAATCAAAATAAGACCATCAAGTAAAAACTAGACAAATTAAAGAACCAAACCACATAAAAAAAAGCAAGAAAAAGACCCCACAAGGGAAAAAGGTCAACAAAGCAAAAATCAATTCCACCAGCAACCACAACCTTTAGGACCGGTCAAGCCAAACCCAACGCCAAGAAAAGACGACTGTCAGCAAGCACCAAACTAAAAATACCAAGCAAGAGCAAAATGCCAAGAAATATAACGAGCCACCCACCATCAATCTATAAAGCAAACAACAACCAGGAGCATCCAGAAAACCATGAAAACAACATGAAAGCAAACCAGCAGCTCCAAAAGACCTAGGAGAAACCGAACATCAATACTCCTCACAAATGGAAAGAAAAACCAGGGGTTAAAACATAAAAAGCAAAAACAACATAACAAAATAATCTTCTACCTCCATGTTCCAAAATAGGAACACCGCAAAATGACATCACGAAAACACCTCCAAATGAATAGGGCCAACACAGAAGCGTCCATGAACTCAATGCATAGACAAACCCGCCAAAAAAATGAAGCAAACTTTGAAGACCATATTCGAAGTTCGAATCATGATATGACCAAAACTTGAAATCTTGCAACAATAGAGAATAAAGATGCAAGACAAAAACACACCTGACACAAGGAAAGAAAAAAAAACACATACCAACCAAACGACCACACCCCTCTAAACCCACACGAAAGAGAACACATGAAAGAATATCAATATTACAGCTAAAAGCTAAAACAAGTCTGCCCATAGAAAGAAACACACGGCAAACTCTCCCTAGTTGCAAAATGATATAGCACCAAAAAACACCAAAATGAAAATACTCCAAAATGTACCCAGCCACAAACCCAAACCCCCAAAATGCCAAAAAGAATCTTTGTTAGTTTATATTGTATTTTATATAAATGTATAGTGTAGGGACCCTATTGTAATATTCTTTTATATAAATATACTACATAAGTACCCTATCATTCTAGTTCTGAACATATCTTCGTTCTTCTCTATGTTGATGACATTATCCTCACTGCTTCCTGTCATGCTCTCATATCTCACATTATATCTTGCATCTCTTCTGAATTTCCAACGTCCAACATGGGTCCTCTTTCCTTCTTCCTGGTACTTGTTTCGCCTCGAGCTGATGACAATCTATTTTTATCTTAGACATCCTTTGCTAAGTAAATTATGTCTCGTGCCAACATGTCCTCTTGTAGTCCTTGTAGCACTCCCTCTGACACAAAATATGAATTATCTTCTCATGGCTCTCTTGTATTTGACCCTACTCTCTATATAAGTCTTGTCGGTGCTTTGTAATATCTTACCTCCACTCGTCTTGATATTGCATATGTTGTTCACAGATTTGTCTTTTCATGCATGATTTGCGTGAACTTCATCTTCTTGATCTTAAGTGTACCATTTACTATATTAAGTTACTTTATCTCATGGTCTTTCTATCTGACATTTTCCACTGATCGCTTGGTCTCTCTGATGATGATTGGGTTGGCTGTCTTCACACTCGTCGGTCCACTTATGAGTTTTGTGTTTATTTTGGCAGTAATCTTGTATCTTGGTTCTCCAAACGCCAACATGATATCTCTCGATCCTCAATTAAGGTTGATTACCGTGGGGTGGTAAATGTGGTTGCTGAAGGTACATGGCTTTACAATCTTGTTCTCGAGTTATCATGTCCATTATCTAAAGTTACGGTTGTGTTTTGCGATAATGTCAGTGTCATGCATTTATATTCTAACCCTGTACAACACCAACATACCAAGCATGTGGAAATAGATTTACATTTTTTTAGGGAACGTTTTTCCATTAGACATGTGCGTGTTTTGCACATACCATCGACTCATCAGTTTGCATATATATTTATTAATAGTCTTCCTGCACAACTATTTCAGGATAGTTTGAACATTAAACCCCATGCTGAAATCATCTCTAAAAAAACCCATGCTCAAACTGAGGAGGTGTGTTAGTTTATATTGTATTTTATATAAATTGTATAATGTATGGACCACATTATAATATTCTTTTATATAAATATACTACATATGTAGCCTCTCACTAATGAGGCTTTTCTCACATTAACAAACTTAACCAAGCTTAAAACCAATACACTCAATCCAATAAGGAGTTGAAACCAAAATTATAAGAAAACATCAGAGATGGGAGATGTACACCAGCAAAACCAGTCTAAAGATTTCATTTTTTATTTATCCTTTATCTGTTCAAAAGTACACAAACAAATATTTGCATTTCTATCCTTCCAAATGATCCAAATGGTAGAATACACAAGGGAAAACTTCAACTTTTGCATCTTATTACTACCTTTACTCACATTCAACATCTTAATTAAGTCATCACAAGAAGTAGGATGATGATTAAGAAACGAATCTCAATTATGTCATCACAAGAAGTAGGATGATGATTAAGAACCGAAGACTACTGCACCAGCCACCTCCACAAATGGCCCACAAGAGAGCAAGAGAAAAAGGTATGGTCTGTTGTCTCATCTGAAACCCAACAAAAGGTTCAATATGTGTAAAATATTAATGATACTAAGTTTTCTTTCCTCTTAGATACGAGTGTAGTTTAAAATATCATTATACAGTGCACATATGTGTTTCATTACATTATAACTTATTCAAGGGGGAGGACTTAACAATTATTACATACGGTGGATACTTATAATGGCGCTTTTTAGGTAAAGTGTTTGTCATTGGAGGTTAATTTGAAAAAATAGCATGTCTCTTTTCCATTCACTTTGCAAAAATCGGGTCATGAATTGTATAGCAAAAATAGGGTTGCGATAAACAATCGGGCTTCGGCTCGGGTCATTTTTTTTAATTTTTTGGTATTTTTTCACAATAGACTTCACAAAGGTTACTGGAAATATGTTGTGTACAATTCAAAAAAAAAAGACAAATAGGGTTAGGAATTACATACCTTGATTGTTATTGTAGCAAATAACAAAGAAACCTTCTTGTCGATCCTTTGGAAGCTAGCACCACAATTGTTGTGTCTCTAATGGAATCAAACCCAACACAAGCAAGAGGATGAGAGGAGAAGGGAGAAGATTTTCATCCAAAGCTTCTTAAGGGAAGGAGTTCCGAATTTGTGAAGGGGTATAACCCTTTATATAGCCGAGGTAGCTTGGTGCCAAAGCTAGGGTTTAAGGAGGAAACCCTAAATCCCTTTGCTTGGTGACTAAACAGCCTATTCCCCTCATTCAAGGGGATTGGACGAAAACTTCTTGGGCTTGCCCAAGTGATTTTCTTCCACCTCATCCAATGAGGTCTTTGGGCTTCTTTCCTCATCTTTCAATAAATAACCAAACAGACCTTGCACTTTTAATTAATTCAATAATCCCAAAATTAATTCCAATTAATTTCTGATTAATTATTAATTAAATAATATGATTTATAATTAATATATTATTTTTATAACATATTAGTAAATCAATTATTTCAATTTATTATCAAAATAATAAATCAACCTCTCTCTCTCTCTCTCTCTCTCTCCAAAATCATCCTGCCCAGTTGCTAGGTTTGAGGGCAACCCAAAAGGACTGTGCTACAATCAATTAAAATTTATATCAATTATAGTTATGAGCTTAGATATCTAATTCAACAGTCTCCCACTTGGATAAGTCTAATAACTATAATTGCCAGTATAACTTTTAAATTGTTCAGCAAATTGTAGCTTCCAAAAGCCGTTGTCGAAATCTGACCCAGTCAGTTATGTATCCTAAGATATATGATCATATAATCCTCTGTTCTACACGATATCATTCGGATATGAGACATGGAACATGTCACACCCCCAAACCGGAACGACGGAAACGTTCGGGGGTGGGTGACGTCCTGTACAGTATCACAACAATTGAATAATAGTAATCAAAGCCACAACAACCATTATATTAATATTAAAGTGTTTACATTATAGTTGGTGATTTCATAACCATTTTTGTTATAGAAAGTATATTCTTTGTTCTTTGAAAATGTTCGTGTGTTCCTCACAAAAAATCCTTTATTTTCTTTGTAAAATGGAATGTAGTCTTAGGACTTAAGACCAAAATATATATGTTTCTTATGCTTAAAGAATAAATATGACACTTTGAATTTATATAAGTAATCGTATTTGTTTCCAGAAAGTTGAATTGTAAATTTTTTGCTTGTAAAATAATGATGTTTATCCTGGAAAATCCTATATTTTCCATGAAACCGAATTGTAGTCTTAAACGTTCCAAGACCGAAAATTACAAGTATAATTGCCATACTTAATTTAATGATACGTAGTTTTATTCATAAGTAAAACTAGCTGAAGATGAGTTTGCCCTGTAAACTAGATTTGATGTTAATACCCTCTTATGATCACTTAGTACATACGAGTTGTATATAATCGAGATCGAACAGACAGTCGAATGGGTGATCCTGCCCTAAACCCACAACCAAACAAGGAACAGGAAGTATGGCGGAAATCACACATTCCACTGCCTATCG